ATTGACACTAGATAATAACATTTCGAATTCTATTTGCTGTTAATAGGCAGAATTCCTATAAGCTTACAGTCAGGTTTATAGGTACTTAAAATCTTATTTCCCTTAATTTAATTCAAGAAAAGCAAAGTGTAGTTTGAACTGCTTTCTGAAATCATCTGTTAAGAATTTGAAATTGAATGGATCTCTTAGTAACCTGGAGATGGGTCTCATTTATGTCTCTGCTATTGTTTGAACAGAATCTCTCTCTCTTGATGAGCTGGAAAGTAAATGAGAATAAAGAAAATGGTGATATGAATTTCTACTGTGGCAGGATGCTGTTTCAAGGAGTCATTTAAAAATGAATAAATTCTAGTTCAGCTATTCATAGCAGAATGTAATAGATAAATTAAGAGAAGTTAATGGAAATATGTGAAAGCTTTTGCATTAAAGTGATTCCAGTAGCACAGAGATTAGCCACAGGTTTCCTTCACTGCTTTATCAAAGTATTCAAAACACTGAGAAACAAATTCATGTGGTTATAGCCTGAGCATTTAGTTTCATTAAAATTCACCCGTTGAGTACCTTGACTACCTGGGATGATACTTTCAAGCTGCTTCTTCAGGATGCTTTTAGGAAACATTGAATGGTGATGCCCTGTTTCTGCTGCACTCACGTATGTGCTTATCATAGTTTGAACCTGTCAAAGTCTTTTTCTTAGTTTCCATTTACAGTTTTTAGTGAAACATGAATAAAACACATGTTTAATCATCTCTTCTGGTTGCCCAAAACTTTTAGAATAAAGGAGACTGTGATGTGATGGAATAGTATGCAAAAATTCAAAAATTTCCTTTTAAAGAATGTTGAATGACTTTAATGATGATTAAGTGAAAAAATAGAATATAGAAACTTATATAAAGGATTATTCAGTTTTATCAGAGTTTTAGGGAGAGAGAGTACAGTAAGGAGCTGGAACAAAAGTTAAGGACGTTGTACCTGAATAGAAGTATGAGTGAACTTTTATGAGTGAACTTTTACATACTCTGTGTGTTTTTTTTAAATACTTAATATTTTCTGATTTTCTAGTAATAAATGCCAGGAGAAAATGCATCCAGGATTAAAATAAAAAAGCACTATTTAAAATTGGTTTTGGATGGACTTCAGGGGACAGCAGGTGGAGGGAGAGGATTCAGTGTGGATGGAAGAGCAGAGCCTTTTTACTCAGTGTCTAGCTTTCCATGGCTTCAATTATGTTTTCAACTTTAGTCCAAAAATATTAAATGGGAAATTTCAAAAAGAAACAATTCACCAGTCTGAAAGTGTGCCCCATTTGTTTAGTGGGATGAAATCTAATGGCCTCTCATTGTCCTACCGAGAACATGACTTAATCCTTTGACTGAAACATCTGTACTGTACATGCCACCCATTCTTACTGTACATGTAGTGGATGTGTTGGTCGTTAGATTGACTGTCATGCTTTCACAAGGTCTGTGTTCTAGTAATCCTGTGTAGAACCCCAACACCATATCACTGTGACTACATCGTTCATTTTACCACTTAGCTAAAGCATCATATCACACTATCACAGAAATGCTGAATATCATACAATAAGATCTTCTGAAAAAGACCAGTTTTGTATTTTGTATTATGAATTTTTATAATTGTCTTTGTTGATTATTTTTGTTACTCATTGTGCCAGATTTATGAAACTTTATCATATGTATGATGCAAAGAAAAGAAAAACCAGTACATAAAGTTTGCTATTGTCCATGGTTTCAGGCATTTCGTGAGGACTGGAACCTGCCTATCCACGGTTAAAGGGAGACTGGGTACTTCAGGGCTCATGTTCTCCAACTGTGGCCCCTAGAACAGTCAAATAAAAAGGTGGTTGGAATTTATCACAGATGTCCTCTCTCGTGCCTCACCGCTGACAGACTGTGTGAATTAGACCCTCGGAAGTGTAATGAGCAAACCCTATGGGGAGCTTGGATGTATAATGACGCTGCAAAAAAACAAAACAACAACAACAAAAAAACTGCTGCTTTACTCTGATGCTGAGCTTAGAGAGCAGTTTTTATTATAACAGAAAATGTCTTACATTTTTTCTGTATAGGACTCTCGTCCTGTGTTTGTGTGCCTCATTCTACCTGTCTTACGCATGCTGTCAGTGTTTGGGTTTTTCATTGGTCTTGTTCTTGTATTCGTCTGGTTTTTCCAAATAATCAAGGCACAGAACTGTTCAAAAAATACAATACTAACAACAGCAAAATTTCATTTAGTGCTGTTTTCCAAATACTCTTCTAAGTGATTATACTATCTCATTTAATTTTTCATAAGAACCCTAAAAATCGGTTATTACTCTTATCTCCACTTTACACAGAAGGAGGCTGAAGCCCAAGACTGAATAACTTGCTCACCTCCCAGCTCCAGGAAGTGGCAGAGTCCAAACAGATCCTGAAGCCTGAATCCTCCATCAGGACACTGGCTGCTTATTTCTCATACATTTAGGGAGGACTAGAGGATGAATGACAACTAAAGGCAAGACAAGTACATGATGTAGTCTGCTGACGTAAAGAAGGCCGCAGAAAGTGGTTACTGAATTTGCCTGTCTCTGGTGTAAGATGAGCTGTGAGAGCTACGGTCACCAAATTTAGAAGCAGACCCATTTTCAGGAAGGTCACAATTGAGTTGTTCGAGAAAAAATTGAGGTGACTGTATCCTGGAAAATTTGCTGCTTTAGTTTTCATTCCATTCATTTTTTGTTCTGTGTATAATAATTGTTTCTTGAACATTTTTGGTTTATCAGGCACTGTGCTGGTTTGCTGGGAGATAAAAACAGTCAAGTATAATTCATGTTTTAGGGATAACGCAGGTTTTTAGATAAAAGAACAAGTGGTTGTGTCTTCCTTTGCTTATACTCTCTTTATTGTGTGAGACAGGAGCGTGATGACAGACAGGAATGGAACTGAGGCTGTAAAGGGGGTTGAAACCTGAGTCAGGATTGGAGGACACAAAAGGAAGCATTCACTTGGGCTAACTGTTCATAATCACAGGAACACTGTTCCTTCCTAACTGATGGTACCTTCCTGTCATTTGCGGTCTGAGGCTTCCCCTTAACCAACCGGAGTCTGAGTTTGGGAGGTTGCTTGAATTTCTTGGGCATGATTTGACTATAGTGAGGAGGAGCAGGAGGATGGTAGGAGTCACTTTAACTGGTTCCATCAAGGTGAACTCTGTGTGTGCATGCATGCGCACATGTGTGCCATTACATGCTCATGCATACATATATATTTTCCATCACTGAGTGCATATGCTTGTTGCTCAGTCAAATCACATTCTTCAGTTTCCCTGAAAGCAACACTTAGCGGGTAGGCATTTAGTCTAGCAGTGAAGGTACCTACATCTTACATCAGAGTGCCTGGGTTCCATACCAGGCTCCAATTTCTGATTCCAGCTTCCTGCTAGTGCATAGGTTGGAAAGCAGTGATGATGGCCCAGTTAACTGAGTTCCTTCCACCCATATGTGAGGCTTGAATTGAAACCTCAATTCTGGGCTTCATCCTTCACCCAGCCCCCAGCCATTATGGCCATTTGAGGAACAATTCAGCAGTTGAGATCTCCACTTTCTATCTTCCTTCCTCCGATAAAATAAAATGAAAGTTGTTCAAATGTGGTTTTTAAAGAGTTATTTATTTTTATTGAAAGAGCAAATTTACAGAGAGAATGAGAGTCAGAAATATCTTCCATCTGCTGGTTGACTCCGAAAGTGGCTGCCAACAGCCAGAGTTGAACCAATCCAAAGCCAAGAGCTTCTTTCAGGTCTCCCATGCAGGTTCATGCCCTAAGGCGTTAGGCCATCCTTGACTGCTTTCCAGGACACAGAGAGCTGGATGGAAAGCGAAGCAACTGGGACATGAACTGGTGTCCATATGGAATACTGGCGTGTGCAAGGCGAGTATTAGCCACTAGGCTATAGTTCCAAGCCCCACACATATGTTTTTTAAATGCTTTTTCTTCTATCTCCATCTTATCTAAAAGAGAGAGAGAGAAAGAGAGAGATGTCTTAGTCCATTCAGTTTGCTATAATAAACTAGGTGACTTATAAAGCAGATATTTATTCCTCACAGTTCTGAAGACCAGGGAACCCACATTCAGAACAAGAGCAGTTTCAGTGTCTGGTAGGCACCCTCTTCCAAGTCCATAAAAGGTATCTTTTTGCTGCATCCTTGCATGGTAGAAGGGATGAGAAGTCTCTCTAGGGCTTCTTTTAAGGTTACCAATTTCATTCATGAGAACTCTACTCTGTGGAGTCTAATTGTTTTTCAAAAGACTCTACCTCTAATGCTGTCACCTTGAGGCTAAGATTTCAGTGTGTGGATCTGGGGGAAGACACCTGCATTTAGATCTTCAGATCCTAGAACAAAGAGACCAGACAAGCTTACTTGTCCCAGAGGTCATGGCTTCTGCCCCATTGTCATAGCCTTGTCTTCTGTCACATCTATCCATGAGCCTATAAGAGACAGGGATGTCTGAATTTCTAACCCATGAGCCTAAAGACAATGGCATTATTCCCCTAGACTTCGGGATTATATTTATAAATAAAAATCCTATCATGGGTATGAATGTTGTTTATGCTTTAAAATGTTTTAGGATGAATGTATCTGTTGATTAATCCATGGTGCTGGCATGTGTGTTTCATTTTCATAATGAACTAATAGATCGTTCCAAACTTCTAGACTTTCTGGATTGCCTTTTATTAGGAAGACGACACTTGTTCAAAAGTCTAGATGCTGCCCTTGAATTATGGAACAGATTCTAGTCTAATTCAGTGGGATTTGATGGCTATATTGAAAGTAGGCAGAAAGGTTTGAGTACTTTTGTGCAGAGAGCATCTCTCCTCTAACAGAGGTAGAAGTAATTGTATTTCAAAGGATTCCTCGTGGAATTTCAGAATGTCGTCAGATCTTGGGTTTCGGACACGACAGCAGTACCACTTACTGTGCTCCCCTTTTCTCTCTTTCCAGTCCCAGCAGAAGTGCATCGTGATCTTTGCCTTGGTCTGCTGCTTTGCCATCCTCGTGGCCTTGATATTTTCAGCCGTGGACATTGTGGGAGAGGATGAGGATGGACTCTCAGAAAAAAATTGTCAAAATAAATGTCGGTAAGAGGTAACAAACAAAACTTCTCTTTTAGGGGGTGGGCAAGAAAGTCAAAGAGGGCGCTGGATAAGGCAGAGAGAAAAGACCATAAACATACGTGACCTTCTGTATTCTCTTTGACTCAAGTCACAGCATGGCTCTGACATACTACTTTTACACCAACGCAATAAATATCACCAGGGATTTGATTTGCTTTACGGTCTGGTCATGCTCTAAGCCTGAGGACCATTTCTGTGGACCTTAGTAGCTTATGGTTGGTTCCTTAAGAACCTGGCCAAGGTGGATATTGAAGTGTGCATAAAACATTGTGCTTATGGATTCATCCAATGGGAATTTTATAGAAGGTCCATTTCCCCTCCAGAGAATTTCCAACTTCAAGTTGGAGATAAAATTTGTCAGCATGTCTGAGAGAAACATGGACCTCCTCTGCCCCAGTTTAGTACAGCTTGGTTTTCAGATGGGACTGGCAACAGCTTTACCATTCTGTGTGCGATTCCCTCAGTCAAACTGATAGCATTACGTTGTGTCATTTCTAGTTAGCAGAGTCTTCCAAGTATGGTGTCAACACCATGCTTCTCTTCAACTCTTTCCTGAGTGGCTACATTTCCTCTCAAGCATGGGGGGGGGGTGGAGATTTGAAAAGTACAAAGGAGAGGGGATACAGATGTCTGTTTTTACATATGAATTGCTACAAAGCTTAAGTGAGACCACCCCATTTTAACAGTAATTATGAACTTGCAGTTGTTGCCTGTGGAAAGCATTCATCTAAGAACCTCACTTTTCTGGCTTGAAATCAATAGCAACCTAGTCACATGCATGTGAATTTTTACTCTGGATGTTTTAACTCAAGACTGAATGCTCTGGCACAGGGAATGCCCTGAAAAGACAATTGACTTTTTCTTTTAACCCATAATACATTATAGTCCAGTTACTAGGCAACAAATATTATCTACAGAATAGAGCATATGAGAACAAAAGCCATGTAGATTTTTATTTCTACCTGTTCTGAAGGTGTTCCATAAATGTATTTACTTCCCAGTCTGAATCTGGGAGAAAAATTATATAGGGGCTTTAGATGGATATAAAAAATGTATTGCTGTCATCTTCTGCCTGTCTCATTTCAAATGTAACTGTCCCTTTGGACGAGGACAGATGACACATATTTATTGAGAGTAAACAATCCATTTCTCTCTGTAACTTTAGCTTGTAATAAAAAAAAAAATGTTGGGAACTTTAAATGCAAACTCTAGCACCTAGAAACTAATTATATGGAGGTTGATCTGTAAAACAACTTCCTTAGGACAAAATATCTCAACTTTTCAATCAGTATTTTCAAGCATCAGTAGATTTCAATGAGAGAGTGAATCAAGTTTAGGATTATATTACTTTTCACTAAGGGGAGCTTCTTGAAGTTTTAGCTAAGTTACACAATTGGAATTTGGGTTTAGGTACTAGTTTCTCATTCAATAGCTAAATTGTGAACACTTAGCACTGCGTCTGTCTATAGGACATTTTAATTACTGTCCATTCTCTTGGTTGCCTTCTTGCTGAGTAATTGGTGCCTAGATGTTATCTCTGTGTTCAGCCACCTTTTCTAGAACTTGCAGCCCTCTGAATCTTTCTTCTGAAGCCTCCTTCCCATGCACTGTGCTTCTGTTCTCCAAGACAGTTCAGCAAGTGCCTCTTGTGCATCTGCATGGAGCTGGTATCTGGCTCCCCTCTTACTTGCAGCCCTAGCAGGTTTCTAGACCTCCTCCTCTCTCTGATGTACAGGGGGAGGGGGCTGGATAATTGGGATGCCTTATTATTCCAACCCAGGTCACAGAGGGTTTTTTTTAAACTGCCTTTTTTGAATTAAAATATGGTGTACAGAGGAAAGTGTGTTCCACTGTCCTTCATTTCTGGGCCCCTCCAGGTAGGAATGTTCCTGACAAAAAATGGAAACTGTTTGAAGATGCACTTGTGGTCCGTGTTGATGTAGACTGGTCGGAAAAGCTGTACTTCTGCCAAAGCTCCAGGGTTTCTCATTTCAATTTTAATATTTACATACAAGATTCCAATCTTTCTTGTCATAACCCCATCTCTTTCCTGGCATTATCCCCTCTACACTCCTTCCCAGACTTGACCTTACTATGGTGATAGCTAGATTGCATGATGCTCAACTGTCAGTTACTAGGTCCTGTACTTTGGTATAATTTTTCTCTTTATATTTTTGTCCTGTGGTGCCATTACCATAAAGAGTGCTTCTTGCTCCATTGGACCTTGCAGTTTACTTTGCAGTTAGGCTGCATTTATGTTTATGGCTCTCCTCACTCCTGAAGGATAAAAGAATATCTGACATTCTGGTGTCAATCTGCATCGTCTCCCTGTTTGACAGCTGATTCCCCTCAAATCTCCTTATCTGTTGTATTCTTTTCTAAAAATACTAACTGAACCCACTTTATTTCTACTAACCTTTCTGTAAAGATTTATTTATCTGAGAGGCAGGGTGATGGGTGAGGTGGGAGGAGTGAGCAAGAGAGCACATCTAGCTGCCCCGTTACTGATTCACCCCCTAAATGACAACTGTGATGTTTCCCATACATTGTAGTTCCAATGACCAACTGGAACATTAGAACTTACCTCCAAGTGAGGCTCACATGAGAACACTTGTGAGGAGTACCCACCCTTTCTGATGAGAAGCTCCAGTTTGGGTGCGTAGCCATGTTTCATTATCCACCCTGGAATGATCTACATTAGTCATTTTGGTTAATTGCCAATTAAGAGAGGCACTACCAGAAATGAACTTTTTTCCACCATACCCTTTCTTTTTTTTTAAAGATTTATTTTTGTTATTTTTTATTGGAAAGGCGGATATACAGAGAGGAGATACAGAGAGGAAGATCTTCCGTCCGATGATTCACTCCCCAAGTGAGCCGCAATGGGCCGATACCCTCTTCCGGGTCTCCCACGCGGGTGCAGGGTCCCAAAGCTTTGGGCCGTCCTCGACTGCTTTCCCGGGCCACAGGCAGGGAGCTGGAAGGGAAGCGGGGCTGCCGGGATTAGAACCGGCGCCCATATGGGATCCCGGGCGTGCAAGGCGAGGACCTTTAACCACTTGCGCCACCGTGCCGGGCCCCACCATACCCTTTCTAGATGCACATAGAATCAATCAGCAACCTGCTCTTTCTCTACCCGAAGCCCGATTTTCGTGACAGTGTGGGAATTCTATAAAATATCATTAAGAGGGATGAGTAAACATACAGTGTTGGGTGAGTTCATGGGCATGTGCTACCTGGTAATTATGGACATTCTCCTGTCCCTTTGCTCCTGAATCAGCCCTAGACCTGAGTCACTGTTGATCTGGTTTGGCTCTCTCTTAACCACAAACCTGCATATCCAGTTTGGTTTGCTCGCCAGGTCTGAAGCATGAAAAATATAGACCAATTCTATCTCTATCCTGTATTTATCCAAATATATCAAGTTCCCACTGTTCATGAACCCAAGAATTTTGAACCCAGTAATTTTCCTTTTCCCTAAAATGAGTGGGCCTATTTAATATTCTAAATTAGGTTGCCAATGCGTTAGTTACTACAAAAGGTTTTTTTTTGTTTGTTTTGTTTTTTTAATAAATAATAGCCCGGATCACCAAACTTTGGTCACTGAAAGTATGGCAGGAACTAAACTTATTTTGTAATATCCTGCCACTTTAAACACAGATGTTTTAAACTTTATTTGAAAGGCAGTAAAATAGGGGTGGATGGGAGCAGAAGCTCCTCATATGCTTTTTCACTTCCTGAGGCCTGAGATAGTAAGTATTGGGCTAGGCTAAAACTGGGAGCCAGGAACTCATGCTAAGCCTCCCCCCAGAGTATTAAGATCCAACTACGTGAGCCATCACCATATACCTCCCAGGATGCATGTTTGCAGGAAGTTGGCAAGGACCAGAACAAGGACTCAAACCAAGGCACAATGATTATAGGATGTGGGTGACCCAACCCATGGCCTAAGTCTATGCCAAGCATCACCCAGTTACAGACTTTATACATGCATTTTTTTTTTAATTTTCAAGTATTTCTTTAAAAAGAGCTGAGTTGTCAACTTTGTACTTTTCACATGTCCTGTTTCTAAATCTATTCCTTGGGTCAACTGTTTTCTTAAAATAAGAAACCAAATCTAAATATATGATCAAATCTGTGTTAGTAATTCAGTTGCAGTTTCAGGGTAGACATACATAATTTGAATTGTCATTACATGACATTCCAAAGAGTGTATTGAGAGATACTTGTATGCATTGATAATAATTTCCTGGTGTTTGTCTTGTTGTATTGTGTTCTCTGTGTTAACAGGCTCAGCCTACTCCACCAGACTTTAATCATTGTTTTCCCTTTTAATCCCCATATTGTCACTGTTTGGCAGGTAGAGCCTTGTCTTGTATTTTCTGACACTGTAGGAGATAGCTTTGAGCAATGTCGCTTTCTGGCAACACTCAATGCTACTTTAAATATTCTTGGTCTGAACATGGTATTATCTACTCTCCTGGAAAGTAGTTTTCAGAACCGGATTCTAAGGTCTTAGCCTGTCCCCTAAGGATAATGATGTTAGACACAATGATAATTAAGAAAGGAACTCTTGGAATTAAAATTGTAGGCAATATTTGATCTCCCTTCTGCCTTCTTTCCAGCATTTTAATATGTAAGAATATCAAGTGTAGGACCAGATTACCTGTGTTTGAATGTGGCAGTATCATTTAGGAGCTAGGCAGTGTTTAGCAGTTTCTCAATGTTAGTGCTATGTTTCCGTCTATATGAAATGAAGAAAATTATGACATATGATTTGAAAGGTTTCTTTAAGGACTATATGCTGTTGTTTAATAGTACCTGACATAATAAATGTTCAGTGCATGTTGACTATTGTTTTTATTAGGGCATATGAATTCAGTGTGTTTGTAGTTTCCCTTTGGCTAGTAATTTCATCTTACTTTGCTCCAAAATGAGGAAGAACTTGTAATGACTTTTCATCC